CGGCGTTGCTGGAACTGGGCTGCGCAAATGAATCTAGTTTTCTGTTCAATTTATCTGCTCTTCAGTATAGTTTTTTTTTAAAAAGTCCGGATTCCGTTCCATATGGTATTCTTTCCTTTCTTCTTCTCTTCGAATGATTTTTTTCGGAAAAGCTTACGCTTGATGTTACTATTGCAAATTGGATAAATTTTTTAAATTTCAGAGCGCTAGGAGACTTTGAGTACAAGAACGTTCCTGGCTTGGAACCCAACAAACAACTTGTGTCCCCTGAACCAGATGTGTATGTGCTTGAAAGGCAAAAGGTATTGTCTTGAAAGATTATCTATTGCATCATTTGTTTGTTGCTACTTCTTACCTGCTTTTCGTGCTTTGCCATTGGCACTGATTTTTAGTAATGCGAACTAACTGCCTAGATCGCTATCCTGCTGAGGCCTGCGCTGCTCGCTGACTCGTCCTGCTCGCTCGTTTATCATCTAGAGTTAATGTGTAATAAATTTCTTGAGCGTTTTTTATAAGGTAGTATTTTTGTGCCTTCCTATTCGGAGCGTTTGATTTTTTGAAACGAACCGTGAAAGCGATGAATTCCGCGTTCCTTGCTTTGTTTGCAATAACAGTTTGGCAACCAAGCAATTTTCCTGTGTATCCATAAAATACATCCCAATGCCGGAAAGCACCGTGGCGAATATGGATATGCCAAAAAATTAGAATTCTTTGTGCACGATGAAACTTCGTCTGTCTCAAGCAACTGCTCACTGTCTTCAAGCCGGGCAAAAATCCACGCTCATCCATCAGAAATACCAAACCTAATTCGTGGACCACCTTGCATAAAATCCTTTCGGTAAAACAGCTTGTTGCCAAGATGTGTACAGACCATTTTACCATAAATACTGCAGTTTGTTCCTGACCAATATATAAACTATCGCCTAAATTGGGAATATTCACAAATTATTCAGAAACTTCGGTGTCGCCTGGCATCGGGCAACATTTTTACTAACGTGTTTATAACTTGAAGCTTTTTTTCGGATTTTCTTTGCGGTCCTTTCTATATCAGATACCAACGTACGTTATTTCTTTTGGACTCTTTCTTTCTGAATCACTCTTCTCTGCAGCTCTTCTGCTTCACAATGTTTGTCCCTAGTTGCCTAGAAACAAAATCTATGCTGTTTGGCGTTACAGTAGGTCTTCTTCCATGATTTTCTTCCGCGATTTGCTTTATTCAAGAGCGCTGCAGTTGCGATCTGTGTTTTTTCCTTGTAGGTTATGAAACAAGTTTGGATCTCTAACGGACTTCGTAGAGAAAATCTTTTGACGAAATTTGACGCCTGCACTGTGCCGTTCCTTAACTTTCGTGTTTCAGGACAAAGATGAGTTTTTGGTTGTTGCTTGTGATGGAATCTATGACGTCATGGAAAATGAAGAACTTTGTCGATTTGTTGAAAGTCGGCTCCATGTCTGTGATGATTTGAATCAGGTTTGCAATGATGTAAAATCTTTTAATTGCTCTGAATTTTTCTTCATAAGATGAAAACAATCCTTGAAGGTGAACCCCGATTGAACTGGTGCTTATGATCAGCTTCTAGTGATTAGGTTAGCTTCGGAACGGACCCTGAAAGTAAGGCCCTAACTCCCTGTAAGTTCATGTGGTAATTGGCGCAAAGAGTGGTCAAGAAAGAAGATACAGTAGATGAGGCACGCTGTGAAAGATCCGCTGAGCTCATCACCTCTCGCGGTGGGTGGGAAGCGTTGGAACAGGGGCCGATGGTTGCAGGCCCGTTTGGATTAGCGCCCTAACCGCGCAATTTCTGAGACGAAGCTGGAGTGATCTAGGTACGGACCTTGCAGTTTCCCTAGCGTCGTATCCTTACTACTAGCGCTAATCCGAATTGCTTTTAAGTTCACGACCATAGCTCACGCCTGGTTCAAGAGAAGATTATTATTACTTACTGGAACCAACGCAACGTAGCCTTCGCGTTCTTTTTAATCATCGCATTTCGCAATGAATATACATCGAGCATATACATCTACTTGCTAGTAAACTTATGTCATATCTGTAATATAATACCCGCAAACCGAAGATTCGTGGAGATTGGAAAACGTCTTCCAGAGAGCAGCAAGAAAACATGCTATGTTCCAGTCATTACTAGACTCGGTAGACGCCTACAAAAATACACCATTTATGAGCGTATTTCTGTCATGTGACAACAAATACACCTAATGCGCAGTCCGCAGGCAGCCTCATAATGTAATCGTTCGTTGCTCTATGTTGTGACGCCCTCGATCGTAATTCTGTTCGATGTCCTACTGTTGATAGAGCTATATCGAGGTCGCAAAGGAATGACGACAAGCTCCAATCATTAATCACGTGATGACATTGCGTTTATTGTTCAAACTTGAAAAGATGTGAGAGGACTGTTGTGAGTACGAGTTGATACACAGCAGGAAAAAAACTTTGGAATATCTCAGCAACTCCGCTGAGAAAAGAACTATTGTATTCTACGCAGAAATAAAATTGGCTTCATGTACCTATTTGAACGATACAGTACAAGCCATAGACAGTATGTTTTTGCTTTTATGTAAGATATGATTTGCGTTATTTTTTTCGTCAGGTGCTTGATGCTTGTTTGAGTAAAGGATCTCGAGATAACATGACAATGATTGTGGTTTGTTTCGAAGCTGCTCCGTCAATTGATAAGGAGAAAGTCGCTTCCGAACAGATATGGAAGGCACAGATGCTAGCGTCAATCAATGGTTATAGCTTCCTCAACCCAACGTCATTCTGAGCACAAAAGCATATGTTTCAAAGAATTTGGCAGATGTGATTGCGGAAGAAACATCAAAACCGGGATGGAGTGAAAATGATGAAATGAGTATCGAATTCATTCTACGAGAGTTAGCACAACGAAATTTGTCTTCTGGAGGCGGCCCCGCACATATGTTACGTTCGCTTGCTGATCAGGTGAGTTTTTTTCTCCTTCAAGTTTCCTATTGAAGGAACAGAAACCATTCGGATCCATTTGTTGTGATGGTGGTAGCGGCATATAGGCTGCTATACATAAACAGAATTTGTTGTTTGAATACTAGAAGCCCAGTTTTAGTTTTGGTTTTTCCGGGTTTCAAACTATAGTACTGAAATTTGTAAAGGGATCTTCTGTGCTTGTAGTTCACTAAGTTGCTTGAATTTAGGTCTTAACGGAGAAGGGAATCAAACACGACTAGCACGGCAAGTTCACCATTCCATCCTATGCTCGTTCGGGGTGCTGCGCTCGTTAATATCTCGTCAGTACTCGTTTCGCTTGTCATTTTGAAGATTTTCTGAGAAATTGCTCCGTTGAAGTTATGATGCTGAGTACAGAGTACAACGTTTTATGTCAGCTTTTTTTCTATTATTTTGTTTGTATCGGACGCGCGGGTGCTGTTTCATTTTGCAACATTTGTTTGTGTCAATATGTTACCATCCTCTTGTTGTAGTTCATAATCTTGTTGTTCCCATACTATGGAAGGAACCTTGTACGACCCAGCCACTGTGTTTTTTATTTGCGCAGTTCTTACTGCAGTTCTCGTCATACTTTTGCTCTCTCTTTCTCTCGATGGTAGCGCTACTCGTCGGCATGTTTGTTCCGGTCGTGAACTTCAAGCGTTCATACTAGAAATGGCGGCTTAATCGACCATTTCACGTTTTGTCCTTTCAAATAGGATGTGCTTACTTCGAATTTTGTTTTACCATATTCCTTGCAACTAAATCTGACACATTTGCATGCACTCACCCTACGCAGCGCTCCTTTTCAGCAGCATTTTAGCGTGTTCGTATACAGCTCTTTTCTACCCCTACCCCTGCTCCACTCTACCCCTACCCCACCCCTCCCTCCTCCTCCCCTGTCTCCTCTCTTCGTTCTTTGAAAATGAATCAGTGGTCGGTGATTTTTGAATCCGTATCACTGCATATTCTGCACATTTCGAATCGCAGCCGGTTTCCGTAAGTAAGAGCACTTTGGTTCGTATTTTAGGTTCTAGAGTAAAATGTGTTTCGTGAAACATTCTCCCTTTGTGAATGGTGTTCTTGTTTCTTAGAATTTGCATAAACTTTATGATTACTGTTTATCAATTTGGTAAAAGTGCTCCGTAAGACGCTAAATGTTTGTGTAGCTATTACTGCTATTGTAAAGGCTGCTTAGTTCCATTGCTTTACTCGCTTATCTATTAAAGCAACGTGTTTTATGTAGAAAAATTGACGGTCGTCTTCTATGCCTTCATACCGTTAAAGTGCCTCAAGTTCAGAATTATAGCTTTTTTTTTTAGTTACCCTCATAGTTCAACCCGTCCTTTGAATAGTAGTGATATTGGTTTGAACTACATTCGATTGAATATAATCGTCCTGAATTCACGCGCAGATGGTTCGAACTGGGAAAATGTGGCTGCTGCGAGGAGTGCTGAGATTTTAAATGAATTTGGATACACGTACAAATAACGGATCTATACAATGGCATCAATCGTGTCGCAATTTTTGCTGTAAACATTCATTACTATTCGATAGGAACGCATATAGGCGCTCATTACTACAAGCTGTGCGGCGGTGTTAACATTTGCATGCCCATTCTAAGTTCTTTTTAGTAGTGGAGCTCGTACTTTTTCTCTCTCGTTTTCGTTTTTTTAGGGATCGGTATATGTTCAAATTGAAGTGTCATTTTCTATTTTCCATGTGCAAGTTCAATCCTTTGTCCCATAAGTACTTGGGATGGTAAGAAAGTCCTGAGCCGATTTTCCGAAAGCTCTTCGCTTTATTGATAGACCAGATTAGTACCCGCGTCAACCGGCGGGACCTTCCTGTTCCTGGGGCCGTATGCTGAATGTTGGGTAGGGGACGGGGATGGGTGAACGTTGGGGAGGTTCGTCGCAGGACCCTTCTGGGCAGCTGTCGCACCTTTGATTTTGCAGCTTTGTTTTCACCCTTTTACTGTTTCTGATTGTATATTCGCACGTAAATATCTTTCTTCATACCAAAAGCAGCGATGAAAGAATACAAACAGAGCTGCAATATTGAAGGTGCGACAGCTGCCCAGAAGGGTCCTGCGACGAACCTCCCCAACGTTCACCCATCCCCGTCCCCTACCCAACATTCAGCATACGGCCCCTGGGGAGACGGGCGTGCTGTCCTCCTGGGCCGCCGCGCGCGTCGCACGCGGCGATCGACGCGGCGAAGGCTGTGGCGGTGTGATTTATTAGCTGTGGAAACAATATGGTTTTAGCCCTCTTCCACTCTTTTGGCTGTTGGAGTGAAAGTTCGTTAATTTTATCGATTCGTTACTGCCGAATGAGCAACTTAGGCGCTGTTTGAGTGACCTGTTTAAAGCAACAGTTCAGGAACGGTTTCGCGGGAAAAAACCACCAATAATGAAGTTGTAGATGAAAACCAGACGATTAATGTATGAAAAACTGGAAAAAAACGTCGGGGAGGGTCTTAGACAGGTACTCTCCCTCTGCCGCTCAGCAATGGATAAAGACGCACGTTGGACGAGTTGTCTGAACGTGCCCGCTGTAAACGCGCTCCATTTTTCAATCAATTTTCCCTGTGGTCCCAAAACGAGCACGATTGCCGACGCGTCCAATGACGGCCGGCAAGGGGGCGGGATTGGGGAAATCCCCAAGAACACCCATGTTTGAGGGACTTTCCACCCTGTTTTTGAGTTTCTGAGGTAAGTTCGTTTATTATTTCCACTGCATATGTTCTTCACTAGGGCTCGTGTATCCCTCAGTAGTAGTGGCATTGAAATTTTCGGACCCTCCCTGAACTGTTGCTTTAAAAGACCTGGCCCCCCTTTCCCAATGGCGTGAAAGAGAGTAGATCATGCAGTATGGCGATATGTTTTCACATGACGCCCATTCTACATGACGTTAATACGCAGTTTACTATGGTTCGTTCACTCAGACTGTTTCAGAAAGTTCCAATGTTCTCCGCAGCGTTTCTTAATTTCCAAACTTAATTTCTGGCGCTCATGTCCATGGGAGACATCAAAGTGGAAGAGCCTTACTGTGCTTGGGACTAGCCACCTCGTCACTTGACAATCAAATGTGAAGGCTGCAACGGTGGACAACAGCATGGACTAAGTAAAAACCTCTGTCCACAATCCCAGAAATCGCCTCACACGCGGGAGCCCTGATCGCCCCACGCGGCGAGCCCGATCGCCGCGTGGGCGGCAAGCCTGACCCCGACGAAGTCAACCGCCCGGACCTTCCTTTCCTGCGCAAGCTTTCTATCCTCCGCTATGGTCCCTTCCTCCTGTGACACCAACACCTCCTGGAAGTGACGCGTATGCAACACAATGGTGTTTCATACAGTAGAAGGGACACAATCATGATATGACGGTAGATTTTTCGCTTCCCTTCCTCATCCTCCCTTCCTCTCTCCACTGCCCTCCAGCTGCCACTGCAGCACCATGTGGAATGAACGGAAGTGTGCTAAGCAGGTGTTTATATAGCCCTAAGAGTGTTATCACAACTATCCTGCTAAAAACATTGATATCTCAAATCCTGTAAGCTACCCGATTTGTTAGCGGTTTGTTTATCCCATGAGCTTCCTTCTCACTCACTTCATTTTGCGGACGGACACACATACATACACACACACATACAGATACACAAACCGACACACAAAGTTAGCGCTTTATAAAATAGAAGGATACCTAGAATCTGCGATAGATATCGCTGTCGATCATACTTCTCCGCAGTAGGTATATATAGCCGGGTTGCCTTCTTTAACTTTAATCATGATGTCGATTCCACAAGAGCACTTTCGAGCGATCATCTTCAATGAATGGCGCTGCGGCACAGGAGCAGTGGAAACCGTCAACATCATCAGCAGCGCATTGGAAGGGACACCACTTCCATCATCAGTGCCAAGCTCCGGTTCGTAGACTTCAAATAGGAGACCCGGCTTCCGAAGAGAAGTTTGGAAAGCCCCCAAACAGTGGAAGACTCCACCGTTCTTGGTGCTGTCGAAGAGGATCCGGAGGTTAGCAACCGCAGCCTTGTGATAAAGGCTCGGGGTGGCACGTACATCCCGCAGTCCTTCAGTCCTTCCACCCCTCGTACAGGAAAAGTGCTGACTCGAATGGATTCCTCATGTCTTGACCGATAGCACGCGGTTCAGGCGGGTACCCATTTGTCAGTTTCTCCTTCTTTGCCCGCACCGAAAGGAGTTTTTTGGAAGGCGTGATTACGGAGAGATGAGAGTTGGGTCCTCTACGATTCTAACAAGCACAGTGCCGTGTGGCTCCCTCGAGGAGAGGGCCTGCCGACACACGCAAAATCGGACCTTCACCCCAAAAGCTGTCTTCTTGCGTGGAATGTTTGTATTATGAGGTGCTCCCGCTAGGAGATACCGTTACCGGCAGCATTTACGCCAGTCAGCTCCAGAAACTAGCGAACGCTGTTCAAGAAAAACGACCGAGACGAGCTTCTGTCCACCTACTCCATGATATCGCCAGGCCTCCATATAGCTAAAAAGGTCCACGCAAAATTAGAAGTTCTGGCCTGCCCACTTCATTCCCCCAGCATTGCCCCCTCTGATTGTCATTGCTTTAAGCTGGTCTTAAATACCTATCTAGAGAGAGAAAAGAAGTTGCATCCAAAAGTTGAAGACGTTGAAAGGGTGGTCGTGTGACGGCGGAATCTAAAAGTAAAAGCAAACAGAGGTGGCACGGCACGGCTTAGGACTTTCTCACCAACCTCAAGGTGTAAACAGTTGTACATGCGCCGCTAGTGTGAGTAATGAATCACTACTTCGTAGGTGACTGAGGAGAAGGGGAGGAGGGTGTTAATAGAAAATTCGATTCAGGTGCGCGAGAAAAATTGTGATAGAGTCGATTGGCAAACTTCTCCTCTCCCATTGAAATACTGGTTTGACATTCAAGTCATTTCCTTTGGCAGACTCAAGCTGATGTGTCTTCTCAAAGAACTTGGTTTGAAATTTGTTAAATGTTCTCGGTGTTAGGGCCATGAAGAGGTCATTAACTGATTTTCTTGCATCCGTCTTTTTTTATTACACCCTTATCTTCGAAGAACCGTGCCATAGCTAGGCACTTCACTGATTTGTCGATAAGAAGGCGATGTGTTCAAAAACCCCTAAACTCTCCCGTTTCATTGCTCACTTGAACGTCACCCTACTAAGAACTTCATATTGCAGTCACTTGGAACGGTATGAGTTCGAATGCCGATGGAGA